CGGCTGCCTGCGTGCCTGCAAGCGCGACCTGCCCGTCTTCCAGCTGCGCTACCCGCCCGCGCAGACGCTGCGCGACTTCCAGCGCCGCCAGCCCTACCAGTACCTGCACTATGCGCTCTTCAAGGTGAGGAGGGGAGCGGGAGGGTCTGCGGAGGCCCAGCGCTTCCACCCTGCTTCCCGCATCCCTTCGTCCTGCACGCCTTTGCTCAGCACCCTCTCCGGAGCGCTCCCGTCCTGCGCTCCTGCGTCCTGCAGCTCCCTTTCCGCACCTCCATCCTGCATCCCTCACCCGGCCCCATTGCCTGGTGTCCCCCCACGCGGCTCCTCCATCCTGCCCCTGCGCCGCGGCACGTCGACCGCCTCTGGGAGCATCCGGCAGGACCCGCAGGCTGCGCTGGGGACGGGGAGCTGCTCAATCTGCTGCTCTCCCCCTTCCAGGGGGGTCCCAGGGGCTCCCCACGTCCCACTGGGGGCTGCAGTTGCCCCCACCTTGGAGCTCTGCTGCCCTCGCAGAGCTGCCTGCAAGGGGAGGCTTCCGGGATGTGACACGATTCCCGGGATGGCTCTGGATCGGGCCCAGTTGGGAGTCTCTGGACCTGGCACTTTGTGTGGGTCTGTGGGCACAGGACCCCCGGGAGTGGCTGGAGCGCTGGCAGTGGGATTGGGAGCACAACCGGCTGCTGGAGGCCTTTCCCTCCCCTTCCTTCCTCCTCCTCCTCCCCCGGACCCTTCTCCTCGGCAGCCCCGGCGGGGGGCAGCAGCGCTGGAAGTGCCACGTTCCCGGCTCCGCGCAGGCTCTGGCAGCCTGAGGACCCTGTGCGCAGGAGGGGACGAGGGCTGCATTTCCCTGCCGCCCGCCCCGCGGCTCCGGGCACCTGCGCGCCATCCCTCGCAGCTCCGCACGGCTCCGCGCGCCGTGGGGATGCAATGGGGAGGGAACACGTGCGGGAGGAGCAGCTCCCTCTCCATTTGCCCCGTCCGCTCCAGCTGGGCAGCGGGCATCTCCATGGCCCAAAGCGAGCTGCACCAAACTCCATCGTGGGGCCACCGTCCCCTCCTGCTCGCTGGCAGGGAGAGGGACAGCGTGTCCTGCTGCTTAATGCGTTTCCCTGCTGCTCGCGCTGGCCGGGCCCGCGCGGGGAGCAGCTCCGCGCTCCGTTTCGGCCGCCCACCCCTCTGGCCTCCGCAGTGCAACAAGCTGGAGAAGGCGGTGGCGGCGGCGCACACCTTCCTGCAGAAGAACCCCACGCACGAGATGACGCTCAGGTACCTGCACTACTACCGCACCATGGTGGACGTGGACGAGCACCTCGTGGACCTGGAGGCGCAGCCCTACGAGGTGGGACGG